GAATTCCTCATTTATACCCTTCCCCAAACATGGCAACTGCCATTCTACTTTATCTCTGAATTTGACTACTCTTAAGTACCTTATGTAAATAGTCACACAGTCCTTGTGTTTTTTTAACTGGCTGAACACCCTTTAAAATAATAAAAATTATTATATATTATCACATGCATTTAGAGACTTTACAATGACTGGACCTACATGTAGAGTACAGTATACATGACTTTACGTGGCATGAGCACACATAAATGCAGCAGTAGCCATCCATCTTTGTCCTTTTCATGCAAGTGTCCAGTTATTAGGCATTTTTTCTAGACATATAACCATAATTCAGCACATTAAATAAAAAAATGAAAGCAAAGCAGATTTACTGTTGCTTGTAGTAATGTGTATTTGGTAAGGATTAGTATTATAACTAGAAAAGGGCATTAAAATCCTGTAGTTCAGTCAGTACTCTCCTCCTACAAATGAGAAAACAGAGGGCGACCAAAGTGGCTAACGCAGTGTCACATCATACAGGTGATGGTGCAGTCAGGCCTTCTAAATTCTGTTCTCTTTCTCTTACTCGTTTACTGGTTAGTGTGATAGTTCTTGTGGTATAGCTAATTAGCCCTTGAAATTGAGACCACATTTATGGAATAAAGTAACTAAAAAAATTATTGTTTTCTTAATAAACGAATAATAAAAAGCTATCCATATGTTCTTTTTGGGGGTGGAGGGACTGAAGTTTTTCCTCAGGGCTTCACATATGCAAAACAGGTGCTCTGCCAGTTGAGCCACACCTCTGGTTCATTTTGCTGTGGTTACTTAAGGAGATGGGATCTCACAAACTGTTTGCCTGGTCTGGCCTCAAACCTCAATCTTCCCAATCTCAGCCTCCCAAGTAGCTAAGATTTAGCCACTGGCACCAAGCTTGTCCTTAATCTTTACATTAAAGATTGCTTTATTGGGAATATATACACCATTGTTTGACTAGAGCAAAATATGTTTAAGGAAATCCCTAAGATGGGATTTAATTAGAGTTTTCTTATATTAAAGCTGAATATATAATAAACCTAGAACTGATCTTTTTCATTTTATATAGGTATTTTCTTTGTTCATTAGTATACAAATAGATCAGTATTTTCTGATAGAATTGGTGATACTAATACCATCCACTTAAGATACAGGGCCCATTTCAAATACTCCACAGCAGTTATTCCACACATACACAATTATACACTTCATCAGTTAAAGATCCACACATCTCAATTGTATGTATTTGTAAATTACACAAACTACTGTACTTATAAATTGTTTACTTTAGAAGCTTACATTTAACATAATTTTTAAAAGAATATCAAAAATAAATTTTTTCTTTTGTGTCTAATGGATAATTTTGTACATCTTCCCTTTGAAAATTAAAGGGATTGAGATATTATTAATGATTGTCACTTAACTAACTTAATTATATTCTTGGTCTGTTGCTACTGTTAGAACCATTTAGATCATAGGAATACAGGGACAGAGACCATGGCTTAAGTGATAGAACATTTTCCTATGCAAGCACAAGTCCCTTAGTTCAATCAATGTCCAGTACCACAAACAAAGCAAAACTCCCCAAAGGAATCCAGTAAAGTATAATGTATTCGATATTTTCTTGAAGCTGTTTGGAATGACAACTTTAAGAGGCTCTATAAAATGTTATCAAATGAGCTAACATTTATTTAGCAGCTGCCAAAGACAAACAATATCCATCTGCTAGGAGGGAACTTATAATATAGTTACGAGGCATTTTCCTTAGCTGTATTCTGTGTACGTGTAAAGGTTACTGATAACTCAAGAGGGAATATATGAAAGACCATGTGTGTATCCCTGAAGATGAAACGTCACTTCAAGCCTGTGATAGTCAACAGGGTTTCAAGGAGGGCTTTCAGTTTCATTCATTCATTTGGTCTAGGCCCTATGAATGAGCAGAAGTCATGGGAAATACTTAAGAGACAACAAATATATTGATTTTATTAGAGCAGATAGTTTTCATGAAGGAAACAAATGGAAGGAAAGCTAGCAAAGTAGTCTTGATTCTTTAGAAGACGATATTGTATTTAGACTTTTTCTGTTTGTAGTGGGGAATTGAGAAGCAGAACTGTAATGTATGGGTAGTTTAGAAAGATGGTTTGTTGTCATATAGAATACATTGTGATGGAGAAAGAAAATGGAGTTAGACCATTTTCTCTCTCTCTCTCTCTCTCTCTCTCTCAGAAAGTCTGTTTTCTAGGTACTACCCTGGGTAATTTGAATCTAAGTTAATAGTTCTGGCTCTGAGTAAAATTGAGGGACATGGGTAGAATTCAGTTGACCAAGTGAAAGTATCAGAGAACAGTCACGCTAATTCAGAAATGGTTGGTAACATAAATCAAAGTGGAAAATCGAAATCATTTAATATATCTGTTTTACTTGCAAAAATTTATCCTACAGATATAATCATAGAACAATAAAATGAAAAGGTTTTTTTAAGTTAAAAGGATATTGATTACTGTATTCATGAAAGGAAAAAAAAAAGAAGTTTATTACCAAATGTTAACTGTTCATTTCTGAATTTTTGGTTTATTCAGTGAAGCATTTTTTTTAAAGTTTATTATCTTCTAGATTTTCTTCAGCTGATACATATTTTGGGAGTTTGTTTGCTTGATTGATCATTTAGAATTGTGGTCTTTCTGTGTAGACCAGACTGGCCATTGAACTCAAAATCCTCCTGCCTCTGCCTCCTGAGTGCTAGGATTACAGGAGTGCACCACCACACCCAGTTTGTATTTTTTAAACGGTGAGTTATTTATTTCTAAGAGGAAAGGACCAGCCTGGGGAAACGATTATTTTAGGTTTATATACTGATTCATTTATTCATTCCTTAAGTGCCTTCAGTATGATGAGCACAATATGCCAAACCTGGTCCTAGCTAAATGCCAAGATGGAATAATGAAAAAGAGGTTCACTATCTTAAGAAGCATTCAGACCAGCAGGGAGGCAGACAAATAAACCTCAATAACATCATTGTAATATCATAAAGAAAATATGTTCAAGAAACAACCCGTGATTTGAGGAAAGAGACATCTAGGGTATGTTTGTGGGAATCTGGAAGAGCATAATATTAGCCTTGATACTTTCAGTTAAGCTTTAATCTGCTAAATTGACAGAAGAACTGGAAGTATTTCAGTAGAGTAAACCATAGCCTGAGAGCTAGTGTGGAATATCCAAATGCAGACACCAGCTTTGGTTAGAATAAGAGGGAGGGCAACATTCAGGAGTCATCTGAACAGTACTTGAAGATGTTATGAGACCTGTAAAATAGAGTATCTTGAGAAAGATGCCAACAAAAGACCTAGACAGGTAAGAAGAATCAGAGTATTAACAACATGGAAGCCCAGAAAAGCAGAGATGTGAGTGTTTCATGGCATCCATTGGTATACAGAGAGGCAACCACTTTGTGATGTATTTTTTTACAGTATTTTTTTGTGTGTGTTTTGTTGCTGTTTAAAGTTATTTCATAGTTTATGTATAGTTTTCTGTCCTGTCTTCTCAATAAGTACATGAGTGTGATTTACTTACTTACATTTTTGCTTTTGTATGTTTGGATTTCCCCCTCCATTCTAAGGAAGCAAATCAGTTTACAAAAGGTTCAAGAGAATGGTTTTTAAGAAAATGAATGTAAGTGTAAAATAAAGATACTTGTTCAGAAAGTTAGTAGTGAATGTGCTAAGATGAAGTTAAGAAAAATTGTCCTTTTTTGGGGGGGAGTGGGGGGGGGAGGGCATCTAGGTCCAAGACTGATAATAAATGAAGAGAAGAAGGAATGAAATTAAGAAACAGAGGTAGAAATCCTAGGATCAGTTGAGGTTTTTTATGGTAATGAAAACTTATTTGGATGCAGGGCACAAATTGGTTAGCTTTGGAAAATGTGTTCCTCTGTGTGTTATTATATTTTCCATTAGGAGGATGCCTTGGGAGGAAAGTGGTACTGGGATTTGAACTCAGGGCTTTGCACTTGCTAGGCAGGAGCTCTACTGCTTGGGCCATGCCTCCAGCCCTTTTTGTTCTGATTAGTTTTGAGATAGGATCTTAACTTTTTGCCAGGCCAGCCTAGATCTCAGTCCTCATATTTTACAATTAATAATGATACTAGGATGACAGACACAAGCACCAAGTTATTGGGTAAAATGGGGATTCTCAAATTTTTTGCACTGGCTGACTTCAAACTACGAACCTCCCAATCTCAGCCTCCCAAGTAACTAGGATTTTAGGCATGAACCACTGGTGCTTGACTGGGAGGATACCTTTTCCTTTTAAGACTGAGGGCAAGAAGGCTGGATTTTGTACAAATGTTTTGCGGTAGGAAAGAATGAAGAATCCAGGACCTGCTTAGACTTTCTCTTGGCATTGCAGTAGACTTGAGAAGAAAAGCAGAACCTTAAGTGTTGCTTTTGAGAAGAATGATGGTAAAAGTAGGCAAGAGGGAGATACTACAAGGATTGTTGGGCAGTACTGAGGAGCTAGCTGGAAGCTGAAGGGATGGCTGTGGAGCTGGACCCTGTAGGTTAGGAGTGCATCGCAGACTCATTCTTGCTTCATTGACAGTAACCTAGACTGTAATAATTTGGATGCGAGACTATTTTAACAGAATACAGTAAGTTTTTATAAACTCCTAGAAACTTAGAACTAGGAGAGGACATATATTTAAGTTCAGTTTTTTTAATGATGGTACTGAAGCTTGAACTCAGGGCCTATACCTTGAGCCACTCCACAAGTCCTTTTTGTGGTGGGCTTTTTCAAGATAGGGTCTCACAGACTTTGTCTGTGGCTGGCTTCTAACTGCGATCCTCCTGATCTCTGCCTCCGGAGTAGCTGGGAGTACAGATGTGAGCCACCAGCACCCAACAAAAAATAAGCATTTCTTATGAGCTTTTCCTTATAAATCCTGAAATATATTAACATCATACTTCTATTTTTACCAGTAACAAGTAACTCACCTTCATTGATGAAAGTTACTGGTGGTATCTTGAAAGGGCTTTTGGTGGGAGAAGTTGCCAGGTCAGGTGGTGACATTAAGTCTCTGGGATAACCTGGATCCCTCTGTATCTCATTGCCTCCTAGCAGACCCGGAGTGTACTGATGACTGGTAGGAATGTGTTGTGGCACCACCTGGACAAGAGGGGGAGACACGTGGGTGTCTTGTCGGGAAAATATCCTCAAGCACTGCTCCTCCAACAAAGTGATCATCACAGACTGGTTATTCACAAGATCAGTCAAGGAAGCATATTTCACCTCTAGTTCCTTGTACCTTGTCGCCATCTTCAACATTTCTGTGGTGACATTGAGGATTTTATTTTCCAACTGGGAAAGTTCAAGTGAATTATCCCTCTTACGGATAATCTCATGTAATAGTTGCATATAGAGTTGGGTAACACGAGAATTCATGTTACGGCTTTCTTTTCTCAGCAGCTTTACCTCATTTACAATGTTTCCATCTACATCCACCACCAATTGCAGGACATCTATCTCTTGCTTCTGCCTGGAGAGCACATCCTTCAGGTTTTCAAGATCCATCCTGGTGATCATATCTTTAATGGTACCTGCATCTTGCCCTTTGGTGTTGACACAGATTGGCCCTGTTATTTTTTGTTCGGGTACCAGGAATGTGTATGCACATTTCTTTGCTTCCTCTTTGCTATCTGTGGCACGAGGGTATCTCCTCTGGGTTATTTTTTTTATTTTGAACTGTCCTCTGCAATGTTCAGAGCCCATTTGAAGGAAGAGTAGCACACCTAGAGTCCAAATAAAAGCCTTCATTTTGAAATGAGGTTGGACAACGACGTCTTTTGAGAAACAAATCAGTGAAGGGAAAAAGTAAAAAGAATTCATATTAATGAACATTTAAAGTCAGTAGTGTAAAAAGCATCTAAGGGAAAACTTAGTATTTACTTGATATTAACAAATTAGAATTAACGTACTGATTTCTTAAGTTAATATAAAGTTATAGTACTTTAACATTTAAGAGTAGATTTTCAGAGAGTAGCTCTCCCAACAACCTCATAACTAATGCTTTTTGTTCCCAAGCTCATTGAGTAGATTTTGATTGGTGCCCATCCTGTGCAAAGCCACACTGCTAGGTGCTGTTGGGACTTTTGAAACCTTAATAATGTACCTTTCTTTAGAAAGCTCACTTTAGACTTAAGGCTGTCTCTTAAGACTATGAAAATGGTACACACTGCTTATAAGGTGTTAACTAAACATGTTCTTGCCTAACTAGTATTGTAATTACCAGGTAACTTTACTAATCAGAGTTTTAGTTTTATACCATGCAATCTCAATTAAATTGGTCCTCTGCAATAAATATCATGTTTCTTACCAATAAAAGAAACATTTTAGGCAAATACGAAATCAGACAGTTACAGCAGCATACATACATACATCTATATATATATATATATATATATATATGGTTTTGTAGTATCTGCTTTTGGAATTGGTGACAGGTTTAAGAATGATAGAAAGTTCACAGCCATTGTTGTGGGTCATTGTGTTTCCTGAAATATAAAAATATGTATACTCTAAGCTTATAGATGCTTCAATAGCTTATTAACAAGGGGTTCTACTAAATTTTATTTTAGTAAAATGTTAGTGATTTTCCACAAGCATTACCAAGAAAAGAAATGATCCATAATGAATATAAGGGACCTCTTTGCACCTGTGTGAATGTTGGAGGCCACGGCTACAGTGATATTAGAAACAGGTCTAGAACCCTGTTTCTTGGCCCCTAGTCAGTATTTATTTATAGCAGCAGTACATGCGCTGAAATGTGTGCTTGGAGTGTTTTATGTTCACTCTGGAAGATGAGAAATACTTGTTCTTTATAATCCACTTCTGAGGAAACACCAGAACTTGTTCCAAGAGCCAAGCCTGCTGTTTTTTTCCTTAGTGACCTCCCAAAAAAGTAGGAGCAAAAGGATGGGGAAGGCTTATTCACTCCTTCTGGTTCATTAGTAAGTTGCTGTATTACAGCTCATCTTCCCAGCTCTTTGCAAAACTACTGTTTTTAAAGGATGGTAGTGGATATCCTAAGAGCTTTTCTATCTACTTTTTGACCTCAGTACGTGTTTCTTTTTGTTTTGGTGAGACTGGAGTTTGAATTCAAGGCTTCACTCTTGCAAAACAGGCACTCTGCCGCTTGAGCCACGCCTCCAGTCCATTTTGCTCTGGTTATTTTGGAGATGGGGTCTTGTGAGGATTTTCTCCTGGGCTTGCCTTAAACCTTGATCCTCCTAATCTCAGCCTCCCAAGTAGTTAGAATGACAGGTGTGACCACTGGCATCCAGCTTTGACCTGAATACTTGTTTCTTGAATTGAGACGCCAGATCCCAGGTCATTTATGCCTGTAATTAACACTAAGACAGGAACAATAGTTAACACCTATTGGGTGCTTTTCATTGCCAGCACTATTTTAGCCCTTTACATGTTATTATTTATTTCTCACCATGACCCTGTGAAGATGATTATGATGATCCCCATTTTCAGATGAAATTGGCATCCGGAAGTTAAGTACCTTACCGGTAATCACACAGCTTCTAAGAGGTAGAATAAGAACTTGAACCCAGGTAGAAGACTCCAGCGTTCATGTTTTTATAACCCCTGCCACTATATGGCACCATATTCTAAACTATTTCCTGTCAACACCACTATGACAATCCCTTATATTTAGTAGTGTTTAACACGTTAACTATTTGCATGTACAATAACACTATGAAATAAATGCTGTTATTATTTTACAAAGAAAGTCCGGAGAAGCTAAAATACTCACAGTATTCAAAATTTCTCCTCCTATGTTTTCTAGACCTATGATTTTTATTCTAGCCATGTCATAATTACAGAGGAGTCTTTGTGTATGTTTTTTGCTTTTTAGTCTATTCCTGCCTTCTCATTGACCTGTTATTTAGTTATGCAAAAGTATTTGCAAACCATTTTTGTTAGACTTTGTTTCCTTCATTTTTATACCCCTAAATTTTGCTGTCATTCCTTTCCATACTTGTGTATTCTGTCATAATCTGACTCACAAAAACAGTCCTATCAGTGAAGCATATACTTTACAGCTATGGACATAATGATTGCTGCTACTTGTATTATCTGAGAACATGTCTTATTGTTTTTGGTGTTTTCAATTGAGTAGTATGTTGAAATGGATAGAAAATGAAAGTTAAAAGTGGGATGAGTAGAGAAGATTACTTTTTTTATACTGACTTAATCAAGATAGGGAGGGCGAATATAATAATATAAAGTAGCACCCTCTGTTGCTTACTGATAGCCAAAAGCATATATGAACGAGTACATTTAGCTTTTTATGTTGCTGTACCTTGCCTTCTAACATTGGTAGAAAACTTAATCCTGAAGAGTCATGATTCTGTTTTATTAAAGAACAAGTTTTATTATGCAAGAGTTGCCTACACTAAAAACTGATAAAAAGATTTCCAGGTTCATGGAAATTAGGTGTAGTTTATTTAAAAAAAGAAAAAACTGGAAGCAGTTTTTTTTTATGAGCATTGGCCTCCTGGGTAAATGTATATTATTTCTCCTACATATTTAACTTACCAGGTGCTAAAATTCACTTGTTTCCATCATAATAATACAATGGAAATTCTTGATTATAAAATTATTTAAATAATTCCTTTAATGAAATAGGCTACCAAAACAGGGAAAATTCAGAGAATGCTGTGCAACTTCAAAACAAGTAGATTTTTATAAATGATAGCCTGATTATCCATCTTATATTAATAATATCAGACACAGATTTTTACAGAACGCTGAGAACTACTGTCCAAGACTTTGCATCAGTGTTGTCACTAAAGAACAAGAATGGAAATGTTAAAATACTGATCTGAATTAAAATTAGAACATGTTGCTTTTACATATTCGTTGGTCTTTGTGCTTCCCATAAAATTAAGTCATAAGGTTTCAGTTACCATTAAAGGCAGTAACTCAAAGTTATTTGTTTCTTCTCTTAAAATAATTTCCCTTTATCCTTGCAAAACTAATGATTTTGTTGTCTCTTAAGCAGAGCAAGGAGCCACATTTCTTAAGTAGTAGACTACGTACGTCATTAGTAAAGAGCTGGTTTTTAAAATACACTTACTATTGCATTTTCTAAAAATATTCTTTTATTTAATGTTTTCCCACATATGTTAAGTTTTAAAAGTAAAAGATCCATAAATCTCTTATACCTCATAAAACCTTTCTGTATATGTTAAAATTTTCCTCAGTTCCCAAGAGAATGTTATGAATTAGTTGCAGAATATTTAAGTTTAAATCTATGTCTTTGCTAGATGATTTTTAGAAAAGAAAAAGGTCTTCTATGCAATTGGTTTAATTTTCTTGGTACTAGTTCTTTTTGTTGCTAAATTGCTAGCTATTAGATAAAGTAAAAGCCAGGATTTACTTCCTTTTGAACAGTAAACTCATAGAGGCATTTAATGGTCTGTGTCATGCCCTGAAAGCAGCATGAGGCAATGCCATTAATTTATGAAGCACTGAGGCTATGTTAGATGAAGAACTTCTAGATTGAGAAATACGTTGTATGAAGAGATTTGAGAACAATCTCATACTTGGATGTGTTTCAGAAAGGAATTAATCTGTGTGATTTGAGTTTCAGATTAAATGCTTGCCTAAGAAGAACTGAGGTTTAATGTGGTCCTGCACTTTTCACAGCAAGCAACAACAGAGACAGGACACTATTTCAGATGCAGTATTGTGTGGAAATTTTATCAGAATCTCTTGTAAAATGTGTTTAGCAGGTATCTTCCCCAGTGTTCAGAGTTTTGAATCTTTAAGCAAAGAACATGAAAGCAAAGCTGAGAAACATCTAAGTATTATTATTATTTACTTGTTGAAAATTCTTCCTGTTAAAAGTCAGAAATCTTCAGATTATAAACAGTTATTTATCTTTCGTGTTAAAGCTTACTACTGGTAACTAGTAATTTTATTTTTATTCTCATAATTAAACAAAGCCCCAAGGTACTGAAAGACACCTCTTATGTATGGTTACCAAAATTATTTCTATCTAAATATTGTATATTTTTAACCTCTTAATCATCTTAAGTAATTGTATCTTCTGGGTTCATACTTTCTGTTGTTAAGACTGACTGCTTAGCTAATACATTCCCTCAATTTCAACCTTTTAGAAGATTTCGATTTTTATGTGTATCAATAACATTGCTTCTCCAAGTAATTCAGTTAAAGCAGTTTTAATCTGTTACTCAAATTAAACTACTGTTACATATAAATGTGGAAAGTTATTTAAAATTTTGAATTAGGAAATACTATAGATGTATCTTAAATGTATATAAGAATTTTGGTTAATACTTGGTTATACTGTAAATGAGGCTTTGTTACAGTCTTTTAGGTGTTTTTACTTCATCTTAGCTTTGTTTTATAACCATACTTTGACATATTTGTTGTTTATGTATATCTTTGCATACATATGCTGTAGCTATAAGAGAAACTAATCATGTTTACAACTGTTTACTTTATATCTCTTTGTTGTTGATTCTTGTGCTAAAATCCTTATACATTCAATCTGTTAGTTATTAAAATTTCTTTCTAGTGTTACTAAAGCATTTGTTTTCAACAACCTAGCAGATATGTATCAGTCATATATACTAGATCAAGCAACAAATAATACATTAACCTTCATAGAGTACTTAACGACTAGTTTTTACATAAAGTTGAAAAACACAGCCTTTTTCAGATGATACATTGCAGTATATTTCACAGTTCTTTAATAGACTTTGAAATTTCTATTACAAATGTAAAATAATTGTGCATTTTGGCATATATAGTATTTTGAATAAAAATAAAAGAATCATTAAAATACCTTTTTGTGTGTTGATAAAGCGAATCCAGAAACTTGCTGCCCTTATTCTTGATTTTTAAAAATCAGTGTAGAAGTTTGTTCATCTCTGACTTTAATGGCAACTGCATTTTTGTTTTGGATTCCTGAAGTCAAGCAGTAATAACGAACTTCTTTTTACAGTACTAATTGAGTTTGGCAAGCCACCTCTGTAATCTTAAGTAGTGTAGTAGACGTTCTGGTCTGTAGGCTGTCTCTAATCCCGCAGAGAAAGCATTGTGGCTGTGCTCTGTCTGCCACATGGAGAAGTGCAGTAACCAGCTGCAGCTGACACAGGCTATATACACAGTACCCCTGAATAGTGATTCCTTCTCTCCGTAGGCTCACTCAAGTTCAGCCCACATATTACGTCACCAAGAAATAGCTGGAGACTGGGGGGAAAATCTGCTCCTCAGGATTTCCTCTCTGTAGCCTTAAATAGGGTGGGAGTAGTAGGATCAGTGGGAGGTTGAATAGCTCTGAACAAGGGGAGATTGTGTGCAGGTTGAAGGAAGGGCACCATCTGGAAACAGACTATCATAGTTCAGTGGGCAGTTATAAAACAAACATTTTAGTCTGCTGACCCAGAGAGCTTTTAAGTTGAATACTGAAAAAACAGTACTCCGCTCCACTTTTGAAGTAGTTGCAGGTTGATGAGTTTTTTGTTAGAAAGAACAGGAGCTTGACTTCATCAGGAGGCAGCCACCTAAATAATACTAATTCTTTATAACCCAGAAGAGTTTTTAAACATTTTACTTAGTGAGCTGCTATTTCAGAAGATTTTTAAACTGGTTGGTATATGTTATAGTTTACTATGTAACATTTCTTAAATAAAACTGCTTTTATATATACACACTGACCTATCTTGTCTAAATAAGGTTGATGTGTTGCCATTTAAAAAAACAGACATAACCCTGAACTGAGTGAAAAATAAGGGAGGTCTGATTCCCCACCTCACGTGCACTCACACAAATCTTTACCCTTTTCTGGTCCAGATTCTTCCATGAAAATAGGGTGCTCAAGAGAAATTATAAAGTGTCGAATACTGACTATGCTATTATATTTTATTAAATCAAGAAATGTTAATTCAGTAGCTGAGGAAACACAGACTTGGGCATTTTGAGTAACTTGGCTTAATACTTAGAGATAAGCAGGTACATCTGGGATTTGAACCTATCCCCAAAGCATTATGCCACATTCTCAGGGGTTATGTCGTTGCCAGGTGCTGCTTCTAGATAAAACTTTTGGGCTTCTATTTCCTGTTCATACCATGTGCTTTCCATTGCCCTAGCTTGCTCTATCTGTCTCACTGGTCTGTAGATCCACATCTTTTATTTAAAGTCTCAGCCTAATTTCTACCTCTTTCATAGTATTGTTTCTTTAAATTCTTAAGTCATACATAGGTGTGCCAGGAGTTGCAAACTAAAGGCCTGTAAAGGCAAATGCTCAAAACAAGAACGAAGCAGGTCATATAAATAAGTGAAGTAAACCAGAAGGTAACAGGAAAATGAAGGGTATGACGAACTGACATCCTCATGGTTTAGTTAAAGGGATCTGCACCTTCTCAGTGGTACCTCATTGTGGCTATGAAGGATTATGAGACAGTGTTGCTAGATACTCCCATTTCTCAAGAATATTCTTCCTATGTCTTAGCTGATTTTAAAACATTGGAGTTGATGGGCTGCCAACCTCTAGCTTCTGATTTAGGTTATATAATATATTGCTTAATCATTCAGTGATTGTTCTTATTCACTAGTAGTTTAATTTGGATAAGATATGAAATAGTAAATTCCCTCTGAGCTTTTTAATTTGAGCAATTTTAAGCTTTCTAACTTGAGAAACAAGTAGTATCATTAACCAACATAGGGAATTGGAATGGCACATGTTTAAGAACAAAAATAATAAAGGTTGGTTTGGGTTGTTAAATTGAAAATGAAAGCTAGGAGCTCAGTTCTGTCCAGAAATCTAAAAAAGTCAAGAGACCAGTAATTGGGTGTAACTACACAACTAAGATCTTATAGCAAAAGTACATGTTGAATGAGATTTAATGACAGACCATGAGGAATACTAACTTCTAGGGAACATGAGGAAAAAGAAGAATCAAAGGAAAAAGGGCTAGGGGATGTTCAAGCTGGGAAAATCAAGAAGTAATGATTGAAACACTACAGAAAGATGAGGTAGGAGAGGAAGACCAAGAGAGATGTTTAAAGATTTATAATAAGAGGGTCATCAATGCCTTTCCCAAAATAAGTTTCAGTATTGTGATAAAGAGGTCAGAGTATTTACTGGGTTGAAGGGAACCAAGAAGATAAAACCATTTGAAAGGATAATTCAAAGTAATATGGATATAGGTAGCTAAGAATGCTGCAATGAATTGCCAAATTGGTTGACATCCACAGGCCAATAGTCACTTGTGTCCTGCTAGACATAATTCATAGACATTATTATGGTCAACCAGTCTTCAACTGGTTGTAAAGTAGGTCACTGGAGACAGAATACCTAGTAATCATTTTGCCCATTTCAAAGTCTTTTACCATTTTTCCTGATCCATAAAAACTTTAATGTGCATCATATAGTACATTAAAGGTAAAATAAAGGATAAATAAACAAATATACTGTCTCTTTTTCAAGGTGTTTTTTGAAGGGAAGGTAGTGAGGGTGCTTTGTTGAGGAGAGGATCAGATTTGAAGAGGTAGATATGTCTTTTTTAAATAGGAGAATTGAATGGATGCATTGGCTCTGGGATAAGGAGTCTGGGGGTGGATGATAGACGAGACAACAGTGGATGTTTGGAAGGAGGCCCTTAGCAATTACATTCAAAATTACAGTTTGGGCCTGGGGAATGGCTCAAGTAGGCAAGAACAGAGTTCAAATCCCAAAATCACAGTTTGGATTTGGATTTAGAAAGAAGAAAGAGGAATTTTCTTCTGAGATTAAAAGTGGAAAAGACCTCGGCTGTTGGTTCATTTGAAGACAATGGAAAAAAGTATTTAGGGTAGATGGTTTAGGAATACTTTAAATATTTACTAATGGAAAATGAGTCGTACTAGGATGAGTAAAAGGATTGACATTCAGCCTTTTGTGTTGTATTAAATGCCACCTGTTGTCAAAATACTACACAAGGTTTTCTTTTTTTTTTTTTTTTTTTTTAAAGTGCAAAGTAGAACAACTACCTTAAATGAGTTTATAGTTTTGAACAGATAAGAGTAAATTTAAATAGTTAAGACTTTGGAAATAAAAGTAAGTGAATGGTTACAGATAATGTATAAGTTTATAACAGAGTATCGTTTTTTAAAAATTTAGGCTGATGACCCCCTTATTATAAATCTACTCTAGGGACACAGGGAGATCTAGTGTGTCCCTTACAGTTGCACAGCTTTAGGCACATGCTTTTAATTGTAGGTTCTGTTCCACTAGACAAGTTTCTAAATTCTTTTCTTAGGATTTGTAAGAAAACTAAAGATACTGAACTGACTATATATAAGATTTTAATGGACAGAGATACGCCTAGAAAACACTCAAGGTGGGAGAGAATGGCAAACATGAAAACGGGCTTAGAAGGGAATGGATATGTCATTTTGGTTGCATTTACCCTGAGGGTTCGTGAAGGTGGAATAATAAGGCAAAAGTAGGAAAGTATTTTTTTCTCTCCAGCTATCAGTTGTCTTACACATTTTACATGTGCATAGTAAACTCTAAAGAAATATTGTTAAGTGAGTGGCCTCTGTGTTCAGGACCAGTACAACCATTATTTTGGGAGATGTCATTTTTGTTGGTGCAGAGAACATAAAGGGATTGGAAAGGTTAACTCCAATTTGTAGTCACATAAACAATTTTAGAAATCTCATTCTTTTTTTGAATTGTTTTATTATTCATATGTGCATACAAGGCTTGGGTCATTTCTCCCCCCTGCCCCCGCCCCCTCAATACCCAGGAGAAACTATTTTACCCTTATTTCTAATTTTGTTGTAGAGAGAGTATAAGCAATAATAGGAAGGAACAAGGGTTTTTGCTGGTTGAGATAAGGATAGCTATACAGGGCATTGACTCACATTGATTTCCTGTGCGTGTGTGTTACCTTCTAGGTTAATTCTTTTTGATCTAACCTTTTCTCTAGTTCCTGGTCCCCTTCTCCTATTGGCCTCAGTTGCTTTTAAGGTATCTGCTTTAGTTTCTCTGCGTTAAGGGCAACAAATGCTAGCTAATTTTTTAGGTGTCTTACCTATCCTCACCCCTCCCTTGTGTGCTTGCTTTTATCCTTTGTTGTGTTTGCCCTTGATCTAATGTCCACATATGAGGGAGAACATACGATTTTTGGTCTTTTGGGCCAGGCTAACCTCACTCAGAATGATGTTCTCCAATTCCATCCATTTACCAGCGAATGATAACATTTCATTCTTCATGGCTGCATAAAATTCCATTGTGTATAGATACCACATTTTCTTAATCCATTCGTCAGTGGTGGGGCATCTTGGCTGTTTCCATAACTTGGCTATTGTGAATAGTGCCACATAAACATGGGTGTGCAGGTGCCTCTGGAGTAACCTGTGTCACAGTCTTTTGGGTATATCCCCAAGAGTGGTATTGCTGGATCAAATGGTAGATCAATGTTTAGCTTTTTAAGTAGCCTCCAAATTTTTTTCCAGAGTGGTTGTACTAGTTTACATTCCCACCAACAGTGTAAGAGGGTTCCTTTTTCCCCGCATCCTCCCAACACCTGTTGTTGGTGGTGTTGCTAATGATGGCTATTCTAACAGGGGTGAGGTGGAATCTTAGTGTGGTTTTAATTTGCATTTCCTTTATTGCTAGAGATGGTGAGCATTTTTTCATGTGTTTTTTGGCCATTTGAATTTCTTCTTTTGAGAAAGTTCTGTTTAGTTCACTTGCCCATTTCTTTATTGGTTCATTAGTTTTGGGAGAATTTAGTTTTTTAAGTTCCCTATATATTCTGGTTATCAGTCCTTTGTCTGATGTGTAGCTGGCAAATATTTTCTCCCACTCTGTGGGTGTTCTCTTCAGTTTAGAGACCATTTCTTTTGATGAACAGAAGCTTTTTAGTTTTATGAGGTCCCATTTATCTATGCTATCTCTTAGTTGCTGTGCTGCTGGGTTTCGTGAGAGAAAGTTCTACCTATACCTACTAACTCCAGAGTATTTCCTACTCTTTCCTGTATCAACTTAGAGTTTGGTCTGATATTAAGATCCTTGATCCATTTTGAGTTAATATTGGTATAGGGTGATATACATGGATCTAGTTTCAGTTTTTTGCAGACTGCTAACCAGTTTTTCCCAGCAGTTTTTGTTGAAGAGGCTGCTATTTCTCCATCGTATATTTTTAGCTCCTTTGTCAAAGACAAGTTGGTTATAGTTGTGTGGCTTCATATCTGGGTCCTCTATTCTGTTCCACTGGTCTTCATGTCTGTTTTTGTGCCAGTACCATGCTGTTTTTATTGTTATTGCTTTGTAATATAGTTTGAAGTCAGGTATTGTGATACCTCCAGCATTGTTCTTTTGACTGAGTATTGCCTTGGCTATTCGTGGCCTCTTGTGTTTCCATATAAATTTCATGGTAGATTTTTCATTGGAATTTTGATGGGAATTGCATTAAACATGTAGATTACTTTTGGGAGTATAGACATTTTTACTATGTTGATTCTACCAATCCATGAGCATGGGAGATCTCTCCACTTTCTATAGTCTTCCTCAATCTCTTTCTTCAGAA